AGTCGGTTAAAAAGTTATGACGTCACATTCAATGATTAAAGTAAGTAGCGAAGCCTCCAATTGACCTCTAGATGGCCTTATTGCAGCTTAACAACCATTTATAAGAAGTAAACAAACCACTGATTGAGTTGAGAGCAAATATCTGAAATCATCTTAGCAAATAAGTACTCAATGTTTTTGGTACTCGCTAGTAGCCGAATGACATAAACGATAGTCGATTCGAAATTAATAGAAAACTAAATATATGGATTTGACATTGATATACAACACATGATATCTGAATTTATATATTTTTATGTGTGGGAGAGCCATGCTGTGAGTGATACCACGGCCTCACAAAAACTGACGTGAAAGAACGCTTGCGTGAGGTGACCGAAGGCTCAATTACCCCCTTCCACCCTTCCTCAATCTCCCCAATCCCTGAATCCCCAACAATCCTCAAATTCCTAATCTCCAAAAGGCCGGTAACACATGCCTCTTGTGTTCTAGGAGTCCATGGTTGACGCCGATTGCTTGCCATCAGGTGATCCGTCTGCTCGTACACAGACGTATCTCATAAAAAAGTTAAGGGCAAATATTGTAGAATTTTTAGAATAGACAAACTATTCTATTAACGTTTAAGCTTATTTGGGAACTTTTTTTTTTTTTTTTTAAGGGGGGAAAATCATCGAATGACTGCTCCCGCCTGGGTGAGGCGGGAGGGAGTGTCAGACTCTTACTGACTAAAAACCACCCCGTTCCTTCTCCTGCACGTCGAGCCGGAGCCCCGGTTACCCGTTAGGTTCTCCGCGACTCCGAATCGGCATCGGCCCTATTGGGCCCCATCTGTGGTGGTCTGATGGCTCTTTGAGGCGCGCGCGGAACGCGACGCGCCGTACGCTCGGGTCTGTTTCTGGTCGGACGGGGAGCCACCCATGCTCGCCGTCCGCAGGCCCGCGCTTACGGTGGCCGGAGATCGTCCCGCGATCCCCGACGCCCGGTGTGTCCTTCGCGATGGCTGGGTTGCGAGAAGGCAGCGCTTCGCTGCCTCACGCGTCCCGCCTCCTCCTTAGCTAGCATGACTGCTTCGCAAAAGGAGGAGACGGCATCCCAGTCCCCCTCGCTCCGCATCATGGCCTGCACTAGGCCCGGACGCAAGAGGTCGCCATCGCCGATCACTTCCCTAAGGTATTAGTTTATTTTATTTATTTTTAGGTATTTGGGTACTAGCTTTTACCCGCGGCTTCGTTCGCGTCACAAAAGGATAAAAAGTAGCCTACGTGACACACAGCGCCATCTATACCAATAATTTCGTTTTCCCTCGTGAATATCAAATTTTTCCGGGATAAAAAGTACCCTATTATTTAATCCAGACTTCTAACTTTACGTCTGCAAAGATTCAAAGCAATCGGTTTAGTAGTTACGGCTTGAAAGCGGAACAAACAAACTCACTTTCCCATTTATAATATTAGTAAGGATTCACAACATATTGCTTCTAGAAAAATAATATTAATTATACAGAGGGTAAATAGAACGCTCTCGAAAATGCAGACAATTTTGTTTTGTTTTTTTTTAGAATTATTTCTGTCGTTTTCATTTTCGCGTCACTTTTATGCAACATTAGCCTTGAGTAGTTAATTACAAGTGTATTACATATGTATTACATAATGAAATATTTAATTCCTTGCTTATTTTAATAAAACTTGTTTTCTACCATCACCTGTCTTCTCATAAATGCTAGTCAAAAATAAGAAAATGTATTTTCGAAATTATTAGGTGACAATCTTTCGTGATTTTGTGATCGATCCCATCGATCGACATCGGACTATGTTGATCGATTGGTGTAGTAGCTTTAATTTATCAACGGATTCCGATTGACTAGGCAATCGATCGGTAGTCTGTCGATGGCACAATGGGGAGCTCAAGCAGCTTGATCAATATTAACTTATCCATTCTACCATCGATTGATTGGTCTGGTAAAAAATGTCGATCGGCGTCGACTAATTCATTCTACCATCGATCTATGCCCGATCGATGGTTTCGATCTACGGATTCCGATTGACTAGGCAATCGATCGGAAGTCTCTCGATGGCACAATAGGGAGCTCAAGCAATCGATAATATCTTATCCATTCTACCATGGATCGATTGGTCTGGTAGAAAATGTCGTCTATCAAAATACTATCGATCAATGGTATCGATTGATTCCCACTCGATTGGTGTTGTAACACTCTTATGTTTCACCGTGTGGGGTGGTTATCAAAGAATAATACCTATAGCTGATATAGATTCGGAGTCGCGGAGACCCTAACGGGTTACCGGGGCTCCGGCTCGGTGTGCAGGAGAAGGAACGGGGTGGTTTTTAATCAGTAAGAGACTGACACTCCCTCCCATCGGCCCATCACATACTCTGGGAGTGTGATCTCTGGCAATATGAACGTAACACTATGTTAAATAATTTAATTGTTTCGTCAGGTGTAGTTTATTATACGGACCTTGTGGAATCTAGAACGAATTTCCGTGCGTTTAGGCGTTTTTGCCATACCTATTATTGGAAGCAAGTATAACAGCTCACACATAGGACCCACTTAGTTTTTAGTCAAATTTCCGTGGTGCTTGGCGACTGGGCTTCACCCAGTTGTACAGTCTCTTCTTTGTGCCTTTAGGCTTAATTCATTCTGTCTCCTGCAGTAATTCACCGAGGGAAGTGAAAACCATAGTTTTTCTTCTTCTCCTCTTATAATATCTTCTGATTCACTTCGTTGCGGGAACCAAGACAGTTACTCATGTCCCTGTGACGCGCCGGACTTCAGTGTTCCGGTGTTTTCATGGTTGTATCTACTGTAGATCCTGGCTTACAGGAGTTGCAGCGGTTTTGGGAGGTTGTGGCGGGCTTGTCCCATAAAAAAAAAATGACACTCCCTCCCGCCTCACCCAAGCGGGAGCAGTCATTCGATGATTTTCCCCCTTAAAAAAATAGCTGATATAGATATTGTAACTTCACCAATACCCTGCCGGAGTGAAAAGACGTTATGTACTTAATTTAATCCTACTAATATTATAAAATTAAATGCGAAAGTTTGTTTGTTACAAGAGTGAATGGAAAGGATACCGTTCAGCATGCGCAAGCCAGGACTTGGTTTCCTGTTGGACCCTAGTATTGCTGGAATCAGGGAAAGCCTGTATTCGGTAGCGGATGTACATATTATGGCTGATGACGATGATGAAACTAGTTTACAACCTCATTGGTAAAAAAATTGTACTTTACTCTGCAAAAACTATTTGAAATGTAGGTGTTGTTTATTTTTTATAGATCAATGGCCTAAACCTACGTCAAACCAGACCAGTTTATTTAATTTACTATAGATAAATGCCAAAGTACAATACAATTTTAAATCTATAATATCTTCATAACAATATTTTTATAGCATTTTTAAATGACGTATGTAAACAAATTGAAGGTCAATATATAATATGATATATGCTCCTGCCAAAGGCTTCGCCCACGTTCCCGTGGAATAAAAAGTAGCATATCTGTTATTTCAGACCATAGTCTTTTTATTATTTTTTTTATATAGCATCAGCCGGTAAACGAGCCGACGGGTTACCTGATGGTAAGCAATCGGCGCCGCCCATGGACACTCGAAACACCAAGGCGTCATAAGTGCTTTACCGGCCTTTTGGGAATTGGGATTTGAGGATTGTGGAAGATTCGAATATTCGGGAGTTACTGGGCCTCTGGTAACCTCACTCACACGACGAAACACAACGGAAGCGTGGTTTTACGTCGGTTTTCTGTTAGGCCGTGGTATCACTCCGGTCGAGCCGGCCCATTCGTGCTGAAGTATGGCTCTCCCACACTTAACCTAGTCTGCCTCTGTTCCAAATATTAGAGGTATACTGATCCCTTCAACCGTTGTGACGTGAAAGAGTAACTAACAAATATACAATCTTTCGTATTTATTATGTTAAGTAGGATTAAATAGGCTAGTGTATATAATGTTTGAAACAATATAATAGTAACAGAAAGAAACCCATTGCAAAGGGAAGAGAATGGGCCCAAAAAGTATGGAAAAAATTATGAGCGAACTGAGTTCGGCAAACAGGTAGAAGCGGGCGATAGAAAGAAATTTTTTCTGTTACTTGGGATTTGCAGAAGAACTAGGTATAGATATTTTTTATGGAATAAGAGGCAAACGAGCAGACGGATCACCTGAAGGTAAGGGATCAGCGCCGCCCATGGACACCCGCAACACTAGAGCAGTCACAGGTGCGTTACCGGCCTTATAAAAAGGAATACGCTCTTTCTTGAAACTTTGAAAGTCGTATCGGTTCGGAAATACCGCCGATGACAGATTATTCCACAGTTCAAAATATCATGCAAAGCATGAGAGTGCACCTAAACTAATCCTTTACTTGTACCGTTAAGTATCTCTAAGAGTTGGTGAAAACCAAAATATCGGTTATTGACCCTTACTTTAGCTTCCATGATGTATCCTCTAGCCACCCCTTAGTAGGATGCTTCTAATTAATTGATGGGACACTCATCCAATCACTTTTTAACATCAACAGCCTATAAGTGGCCACAGCTGACCAAAGGCCTCTTCTAACACGGAATAGGTTTAAGCATTAATCACCACGCTCTCTTAATGCGGGTTGGCAATTTCAAACTAAGTAAAATTAGAAATTATAAGCTTATGTTTCCTCACGATGTTTTCCTTCACCGTTTGTCAGTGGTGTCTAAATAATCTTAGAAAGTACCTACATATAACTCGGAAAAAGTCACATTGGTACTTGCTGTTAGTGGGTTTCGAACCTTTGAGCCACCACGACTCTTATTTTTAACACTACAGCCTCAAGATCAACATTACGATAGCAATAAAATTATTAACTCAAATATCGTAAGTAAGATCCTTCATCTCCGCACTCGACAGTTGCTCTTACGACCACTAGACGAACAACTTCAAACAACGCACTTCATCCTATATCACAAAATTTTATATAAGCTAATAAAATTATGATGTCCAGTTCAGTTTTTGATTGACTCCCAAACAGTGTGGTCGGTTTCAAAATGGAAAGTTTAAGCGATCGTATGTTGAGGTACAAACCGGATACTTTATTAGAAGTGAGAAAAGAATTGAACCTTGATAAGCCGGGACGAATTAATGAAGCTATCGATATTTTGGAGGATTGGGTGCAGAAGCAGCCGCATTTCGCTAAGAAGGATTTTCGTGAGTTTTCAATTTTGAATTTGTATTTTTGGGTTAGTGTAAAATTTTTGTACAATGTGATAACTGCCTTGTAGGCATAGTTTTAAGTGTGACTGTCAAATGAGTCTTGAATTCCTGGATTGGACAAATTGTTATCGAAGTCTTTTCGGCTTTTCGAGATTTGGAATTATATTGGCAATGAGCTCATGTTGCAATATAGGTTTTTATAAAATAACCCATGAGTTAGGTGTAACTTTTTGTATGAGTGCACCTGTACCCTTCGGGGATAAAAAATGTGATAGTTGGTTATGTAATTATGTTATATTATTTTTGCAAATTTATATTTTATTTATTTGGAAAGCTATTATTGTTATGGTAGGAAGTCTTATGGTGAAAACTAGAATCGTATGTAAGTGTAAGATATTTCATTTTGTTGGTCCACAATGCATTTCTTTGATGGGGTATATGTCTGGGGCTCCATTGATGTACCAAATTTTTTCTAAACGTTGCCTCCCACTATTTTGTTTGATTTCTAATGAGTCGTGTGTGCGTTCATAAACATATAAGTTCACACATGACACCCAGACCCAAAACAACGATTTGTGGATCACACAAAGAGTTGTGTGTGCGGAATCGAACCCGCGACACATTGCGCGGCAGCAAGTTGCCCAGCCACCGCACCAACCGTGCAAGTATTGATTAAAATACTATTGAGATTAAAATATACTTAACTGGAATTTTCTTTATTAGATGTTTACTTTATAATTCAGTTTCTCATAAATGCACCGATTTGCATCAGTTTCATGACATAACCGGTAAAAGTTAGTAGGTATTTTAAATATTGTCTTAGTAGGCTGCTACATTTTTGCACACAAGACACATAATGTTATGTCACAATTATCATTTTGAAAGTTTAACATTATTATTTTGATAGTGTAACATTATTATGTTGAAAGTGTCACATTATTATTTTGAAAGTGTAACATTACTGTTTTGAATTACATATTTAAAATAATAATGTTACGCATTATTATTCAATTTACAAGTGTGTCGATTATTTCAAACGGTCTTATAAGACACTAATCTTATAGACGGACAAACATGTCTGTAGTTTAATAGTGGACGTTATTGGCTTATGATTTTTTTTCTATGATAAAATTACCCCATGTCATATCTTTTATATTGGATTTCTTTGTTTTTTTTTTTTCTTAAAACGTTGCCCCAACACTAGGATTTTCTCCTATGTCGTGGGTACGTTTATAAATATACAAGTTCACATACACGTAACACCCAAACCCGGAAAAACAATTTGTGGATCATTCTGTGACAGCCAGTTGCCTGTTGCCCGTCCTTTGCGCCAACCGTGCAGTTTGTGAATGTGATTCTAGACTAATAATCTCTGTGACTAATTTCGTCCAAATTCGTCCAGAGGTTGCGTAACAAAGTAACAAAAATAAATACAACTATCCATACATCCATACAAAAGTTCGTATTTATAATAGGTACATGTCTTTTTAGTGTGGGAGAGCCATGATTCGACACGAGTTTTCCATTTTTCCAGTGTATGTGCAATATAGTTTAAATAAAAAATAAAGACTGTTTTTGGCCACAAATTTTCCAAGATGGCGACGCGAGCGGCGCACGTACGAGGGTGCACAATGGAAATCAGAAAGACCACATCAATATCTACAATATTGTAAATTTTCAAATGTCCTGGAAAAGATTCCAGGAAACTCCCATATTTCTGCCGTCAAAGTCAAAGTTAAAGTCAAAGTATTTATTTAAATTAAACCATAATTTGGTATTGTTGAAACGTCACCAAACACAAAATAAAGAATAGTCCGTCAGTCAGCCCGTCAGTGAAGCTAGGTGAATCTAGGTGCTCATTCCAAAATGTAGATTCGAATGGAGAAGAATTCGAAATATGAATATACAAAACGATGTTTCATTATAATTAATATTTAATTATCTTTATTGTCATTGGTTAAAGGTTTTGTAAAGGAAGGTTCCGGGTTCGATAACCTTTTGATAAGATATTTTAGCAACAATATATTCTCACAATAGGCATAGTTTCTATTGTATATTTTTTTAATCTATGCGAAATATGAGTTAATTATTTATTAGTTAATTATTGTACGGGTAATTTTTTTTTATAAGCCGGTAAACGAGCAGACGGATCACCTGATGGTAAGCAATCGGCGTCGCCCATGGACACCTGGTAATTTATTAAATAGGTTTTAATTTTATCTTTGGTCGAGTGTCAAGTCAGATATCCCTCAATTTTGAGTTAGGCAAAAATAGTATTACAATTTTATAAAAAAAAAACAGTAATCACCCACTACTGAGCAAAGGCCTCTGCTCACACAAAGAAGGTTTGAGCTCAAATCTCTACGCTTGTTCAAGACGGGTCGGGGATTTCAAACTAATAGACAATTGGAAATTTTTAAGTACACGTTTCATCACGATATTTTCCTTCACTGTCAGTCAGTATTTTCTAAATAATCATAGAAAGTACATATATCATATCCTTACTAATATTATAAATCGGAAAGTGAGTTTGTTTGTTTGTTCCGCTTTCACGCCGTAACTACTAAACTGATTGCTTTGAATTTTTGCAGACGTAAAGTTAGAATTCCGGAAAATGCGATATTCTCGAGGGAAAACAGTAAAGTATTGGTATAGATGGCGCTGTGTGTATTGGTATATGTCACATAGGCCACTCTTTATCCTTTTGTGACGCGAGCGAAGCCGCGGGTAAAAGCTAGTATATACATAAAAATCATCAGCAGCGCGACAGTAGCCGCGTAGTGAGTCGCGTGATGCGGCTCATTACAATGTGCCTCTAGCATGGCTTGAACCTAACAGGTTACCAAGGCTCCGGCTCGACGTGCAGGAGTAGGAACGGGGTGGTTTTTAGTCAGTAAGAGTCTGACCCTCCCTCCCGCCTCACCTAGGCGGGAGAAGACATTCAATGATTTTCCGCCCTTAAAAAAAAGCGTGGCTAGAAACCAATCGAGTTCCTCGTCAAATAATTACGTGACTAAGCCGGAAAAACATAATAATATAACATCACGCCTTTTATCCCCGAAGGGGTAGGCAGAGGTGCACACAGAAGTAACACCCACTTTTCGCTATTTATGTTATGAGTCCCATGTAATAGGGGATGAGCCTATTGCTACTACTTATTACTTATACTACTGAGAATTTTTTTAAAACCCAGTAATACTTTGCCCGACCCGGGAATCGAACCCGAGACCCCTTGCCCGGCAGTCGCACTCGCGACCACTCGGTCAACGAGACAGTCTAAAAACATAATAATTAATTTAGTATGTCTCACGAAAGTAATAATATAATTTGAACCTTTCTTAAGGGCATAGAATTGATTCAAGGTTAAAAAAATTGCCAACGTTAGTTTACAACCGGTTTATTTGACGTCCATTGGATTTTGATTTGTCGTTTTTGCATGGAATAACAATAATTAACCTAAGAGATTATCGAAATACCATTAAATGTGATGATTATTTATTATTATTGTTAATTGTTTGAACATAATTTGTGCGACTTTGTTTTGAAATATAAAAAAGGTGATTGTGAATTTAAAATCTCTTTGTATGATTCCCATCTTTTACATTGAAAATAATAAACAGAAGTGAAGTCAAGTATAGGACATGTTTGCGATTGGTTTTTTATTCATCAGAAATTCAAACCAGACCTGGATGGTTTTATTTGGATAGGCGATCAAAAAGAACCACTTCTGAATTAGTTACGGATTATTCAAAACCTCCAATTAAAAAAAAATATAATATTGATTTTTCCAAAAACGAATAGACATTACAATGTATGAACGGAAATGAAACGTACTTTAAAAAAGGATGGTCAAAGTCAAAATTGACGTTTACCACTGTCAAATGGAAGTAAGAATGAAAAGTACCTAAGTTTATATTCTACAGTATCTGAGACTTGTACACTTATACTTCAACTCCACATATAAATCATTATACCTACTTATTATTTGTTTATTGATTAACACTATATACACCAATTACATTAATCAAATTAAATTACAAAAATATAAAAAAAACTAAATCAAAGTACATAACATAAAAAGGGTGTCAAAAGTAAATGAGAAAATATAGTAAAATTACATAACATAACATCACGCCTTTTTTATCCCCGAAGGGGTAGGCAGAGGTGCACATTTCGGCACTTAATGCCACTGTACAATGC